GTACAAATAGATTAATTCTTATTATATTTCTATAAAATAACATAAATTTGTTTTTTTTATATTTTTATTTTAACAATATAAGAAAATTATATCATAGATACTTGACGAAGAAGGAAACTTTTATTATTGTTCTATTGCAAAATAAGTGTCAGTGTTGTACTAACGCTTTTCGTACGAAAATTTTATATAAAATGTTAAATTGTTATAAATAATTTCCTTATAGAACAATAAATTAGTAGTGTTATTCATGATTATTGTTACACGTTTTATGTAACGTAAATATAATACAAGTGTGCGGTATCATGTTTTATAATATATGAATGGAGTTAGAGAAGCGATTGTAATTTAATTATTATAATTGTGTAGCCTCTATTTTATTTAGATGAATGGATTTTTGAATCAATGTTTATCTAAACTGGGGATAATTATGACGAATTCAATGAATAAATGCAACTTTTTAGAATTTATCAATGGGAGAGAGCCGAGGGTTATAATTTCACCTAACTATCAAATATGATTTTCAAAAACATAGTTATCTTTAATCAATTTTTCATGATTATAGGCTATGATTTAAAATGCGCGAAAATGCACTGCCTACGCGATATGCTAGTGGAAAATGCGTCGAATTCGGGGTATGCACGAAAAATGCGTTTCTGTTCTAAAAGGCGTCCGGCCTAGTCCCTTCTTTTTTTTATGATATATTAAAAAATCTATTTTTTTATATAAAAATATATTTAATACCTTAAAAATAATTAAAATAATATTAAAAATACGAAAAGCATTATGACACTTATTTTTTGCATTGACACGCTTAAACGTGTGATTCTTAATTCTCGACATTGACACGCCTCACAACGCATTAGGTCTTTTAGAACATTGATTATAAGTAAGAACCCTAATGTAATTCTACCATTTCTCTCGAGTATCAGGTAAAATTTTCCAATATCTCTAATATGAATTAAAATCAAAATTTACAAAGATCGTGGTTCTTAGATGGAACAAGTTTCATAAATTCTATACTTTCTCTCGAAACTCATAAAATATAGATTGTGTTATTGTTATGATCGTGCCTAAATTTCAATCTCTCAAGTGTCGAAATTGACTAGTATCTAATCATTCAATTAATGATCAATTAATTGAAAGTATTAAGACAACAACACGAAGAAATGGAATTGAAAATTTTTATAGAAATAACTAAAATCAAAATCAAATCATATCCCCAAGTTTTAGCTAATGAAACCCTATAAAAATTATTTAGTTAATGATATAAGACGTGAAATCTATACAATTCATAAAGAATAACATGAATAGATGAAAGATAAAACTATTTTTTAGATGGTTGAATCAATCTTCTTCATCAAATTGCATTTGCCTTCTTGATTTCTTGAGTATTGCCCTCTTCAATTCTCTCCCTCAAAGTGGCCTCTAGTGTTGCATTTATAGTCTTGTCAAGTCTTGGATGAATTTTGGAACGGATTGGACCAAGAAAAGAGTCCAAAAAATAAAAACAATCTTCTCGCACGGCAGCGCCTCGAAGTTGGGTCGACGCTGCAACTCTTCTTCCAATGTCGCTGTGGCACCACATATTCTGTCTCTTGTGTTTCCCAGCGTTGCGGCACCATGTGTGTGGCGCTACACATTATGCTTCTTCTATGTTAGGGACATCGCGACTCTTCTTCCAGTGGCGCTACGACACCACACATTTTGTTTCTCCTATTTTTAAGGCGT